GACTTCCATTTGTATGAATATTCCAGGGCTTGTTGCTACATTACACTAATTTCAGAACATTTCTAACAACACAATGCTAGCAACATAATGTTAATTATACATAAAATAAGTTATACTTCTTCAATTGTCTTCAATTGTTACAAATATCTGATAGTATTAAATTCAAGATCGTTTTTGGTTTTCTTTTCTTGCTTATGCCGTGAGTTCTTATACACTAAGAAAATGCCAACAGAAAAAATGTAAGTTACAAAGAATACGTTTGCAAGCACACACCAGTAACAAAAGGATAACGAAGAACATTATAGTGTTGTAACTCAGAATTCCAGATGCTAGAAAACTACCATAATCATAACCGTACTGGTATTAGAATGCATCACTATGGGGTGGAGCTATGCTTTACGGAGAGTTTTAATTAGGCATTTTCTTTTATAACATCTCTGTAATATAACCTATCCTTACTCCCTTATTCTTAATTATATTTGTCCTTTTTTTTCTTTTTTTTTCTTTTTTTTTTTTTTTTGTATTTTCTACTTTGTATTTTGCTATTTTCTTCTCCTCCTTTTAATTTTTTTTCCCTCTTAAAATTTCAAATGGTATTTATTCTCCTGTTATATTGTGTGACTTGTGGAAAGCATTAGAGACAGGATGCATGCAGGTTAAAAGTGTGTGTTATGGTTTACTGGAGAAAAATGTGGCCACTTCTTAAGACTTTTTCTATTTTTTTGTCCTCATTCATGATATGACTGTTGCATATGAAGTTAGGAACACACTAACGTTCTTATGGTAGGAAAGCACTTTTTGTTTTTTTAAACTTTCTTCTATCTACATCTAGTTATATATTAAATCTAAGTCGTGTGATGCTTAATGTGAAAATCTTACAGTTCTTATCATCTGTGAAGTATGTTTAGCCAGAACACTTGTTCTTCAGACCTTGTCTGCACTCTCTAATTTCACAGTACAAAAAAAATTTTCCAAGATTTCAGGAAATCCAGCCTTCCTGCCAGATGAAACACAACAACAAAAGCTGGCCAAATTAGATGCTCTGACTCTTGTGCAGCAATGTTATCAGAGAAATTTAAAAATATACTGTATCTGAAATTAAGAAAAAAAATAATAATACTGGGAACTGGAGAAAAGGTTAAAAAAAAAAATAAAAAAAAAAAACCTAAAAAAAAATTAGGTTTTACAAAAAGCAATGCCAGGGAAGGTTGGAAGATTAACAATTTTAATTATTTTTCTGATGGTATCACACTGTGAAGTAAAGTAATGTGATACATAAAGGATACTAGATAAAGTATTAGACTAAATGAAGCCTGAGTAGCATAAAAGAAATGAATAGTCATGAAAAGACAAAAAGCTAAAAATCCCATCTATTTATCTGCCTAGAAGTAACTAAGATGCTTACAATTAAGAAAAAATAATAGATGTAAAGCAGTTTTCAATATATATCTTGACAAAGCGTGGATCTGATAATTTAGTGTTTACTGTGAGCATAAAAGCTCCACATATATTTCAAATTTATTATTAATTACAGTACTATTTAAATGATATTAACAGCCATTAGACCTGATGCTTTGCAAGATTACAGGATTTAAGTGACTTATGCTGTAAGAAGTCAGGGCTCATAGTAAGCCTCTCTCTTCATGAGCTGAAGGATAATAGCCTTCTCACAAACACCAGCTGGGATATCAGATGCTTGGCAGCATAAGAAGAGGCAGTAGTTTCAAGTGCCAAGCAGACATTTATCTGGAGTACTAAGAGTAAATTTCTACTTTCCTTGCGCTTGTGATTGAAGTTGTGCTGATTTGAACATGGTCCCCCTGCCTTCTCTGTTGTGGTCCCTGCATTTAGAGTTAATGTATTTGAAGCCTTTTTAAGTTCTGTGAATTAAGTATTTGTCTGAGTTCTACTACTAAACCTAGTAATTACACAGAAGTATGTAAGAACGCAGACACAAAGAAGTGGGTTAAAAAGCATAATTAAAGCTCTGCAACAGCAGCTGCCTGAGGACATCTCAGGACAGGTCCCACTAAAAGCAGACAAACAGCATGAGAAGGTAGAGTTCTTGGTGGCTTGTTGCTTGTTTTGTTTTTACTTCAGGCTTTTTTTCATTTATTTGTGTATTAAAACAGGAAACGATTGTAAAGACACTTCCCCATAATTTTTAAGCACCAGAACTTTAGAAACTTTAGTAACAAACTTTAGTATCAAAGAAACTTTAGTATCAGAGCTGAACTTTTGAAACTGCAATTACATTGTTTGTAATACTGATATCTAAATGTCAGAGAAGTTCATTTTGTTGTAATTTTTGCAATTCTACAGAATCACAGAGTCATAGGGGTTGGAAGGGACCTCCAGGGATCATCTAATCTAATGCCCTGCTAAAGCAGGTTCTCTACAGCAGGTTGCACATGAAAACATCCAGGCACAAGTTCTTGGATATGTCGAGAGAAGGGAACTCCACAGCCTCCCTGGGCAAATCCAGCTCTCCCCTTTCTAAGTTTGTATCTTAAAAAAATCTAGCCTACATTGAAATCGCTACATTTCTTCTAGTGGTACACAATAAAAATAGATAAAATAAAAATTCTAATACAGTGATGGTATGTAGGAATATGAACCAATTTATCTAAAAGAGAAAATATGACTTGCAATTTCCTAAGTGCTTGATGTCACTACCACAATATCACATTAGCTCTATTCCTAATGTTCTTAACCAGAACAATATACGTAATACAACGTGCTGGCTTCAATTCCATTTCCCTCCTTTGCTCTTGAAAGCTTTCTTTGAAATATTTTTAAGTTAATTAGTCAGAAATACTCCGATGTATTGCATACAGAAGGAATTTGTTGAGAAACTGTGGTTACACAGATTTTTAAAATTCCTTGTTTGTTTCTCACCGTTTTTGTTTCATTAGCAATATGTTCATGTGATGAAATGTAGTCATGAACTAATAGACTGGAGAACTCTGCCAAACACCAACTTTGCCTCTGGCCAGAGTATTCTGTACACCTGCAGTCCTGCAAATGCTGGACTGGTTTCTAGTTTCATGTTTTGGGAAGAAAAATAAAATGCTTTCAAGGAGTTAGAAGACCTTGCATTTTGGCAAACTCCACTTACATTTTTGGCTCTATATCCCAAAAGTGAAAAGAGGCAACTGGGAAATTTCCTTACAGTATCCAAGTTCAGAATGAATCAATAACACAGCAGCGCATTATGCTCCTATAAAAATCTCTTGAGATGTTCTAAAAATGGGCTTTAAGCTAATTGTTTCATGAGGGATTGCATCACTATACACATTTCTCTAAAAATAGCTGTCTCAATATTCTCCAAAGGAATCTTGGCCAGGGTGATTAGAAACACTGTGTAATCACTCAGCCAAGCCCATGTGGTGATCTTGTTTAATACCGTATTACTGAGAGATCTTTTAAACCTACCAAAAAGTTCTGTGGCTCTCCAAATACAGCACTTGGTATATGAATCAAAACAATTCCAGCGACTCTGTTTTGCTGGGGATGCATACTATACTTCTATATATTTTAAACACTAAGCAATAGATGCTTTACTGAAAGATTGCAGCTGCTAAATTGTACTTAAATCATTGCAATTAAATATGCACATTTTATGCAAAGTTGTTTGCATCACAGAGATCAGTATCACTAGCAGCAATTTAGGTGGACAACTGCAATACAAAAAAGTTTCTGAGGTTATCAAAATGTATTCTGATGAAACCTGTAAAAAGAAGTCACAATCAATGCATTTCTTTCAGCCTAGAAATGACAAATCATTCTTCAACTCATGCAGCCACAACCTACGACAAGCCTGCTCAATTTATCAGCACAATAATATTTTGGTCTTTCATGTGTGTATGCCTGTAGTTTCATATTTAAAGTAAATAACACATATTCTCATTCTCCTACAGAGGCAACATACTTCATTTTTAAGATTATTCTTTTCATTTTTCAGTGAGAAGAGTTACAAATTACATCAAAATCCTTATCATTTACACTCTGCTTGAACTGCTAAAAGGCCAGAAAATTAGAACAGAAAAAGTGCTGCAGTTGGTCAATCACTGAGGTTCTAGCTCTTTGATAAAAGTGCTTCAGAAACAGATTAAGAAATCGCATCTCTCAGAGAAACTGAGGAGTGGAGATATCATGCAATATGAAATCTGTCATTTTTTCCCACAGAACAATCATAACAAGGACAAGTAGCACTTACAAGCCTTGCTCTTGGATGCACATGTGAAACCTGTGGGGCTTAACAGTGCTTCTCTCTAAAGGGATTAAGGAAGCATGAATGTTCTCTACAACTCCTACTATCAGATAATTCTGAAGTGTAATAAAGTGGTGACCCAGTTAAACTACATTCCTATTCCTGGTGTCTCTTTCCTTTCTTTTTTTTTTTTTTTTTTCAGTGTCTGAGATAAAAGAGATTATTTTGGCATTAATTTAATCTAGTTAAATAGCATTAGTGAAGATCTTTATCACTATAAATAATGGAGGTATTTGAAGTATTTGATTGCAGTTCTAGCTGAAGTTATCACATACACAATGTCTCTCTGGCAATCCTTTTCTGCTGTTGCCATACTCTGGCAGAACAAAGTTCTGAAAGTTTTGAGTGTATCGTAATAATATCTTGATGGTTTAAACAAACAAACAAACAAACAAAAAACCTCATTTGAGCATTTTAAGAATAATCATGATTTCCAGATAACCTTGCAGAAAGCCTGGCGCCTTCTGAAAAATAAACTCATAACAATAATTCAACAACAGATAAGCAAAAAACGAAACAGCAAAAAGGTTAGAATGTGTCAACAGAGTGGATAGATCTTGAGCAACACAGAAACATTTACATTTCACATCTCCTACTTATCACAATTGCTGTCACATATCAGACCTGGTTTGAGAACTTTCAATACAGTGTCAGAAGAAAACAGTACAAATGAAAATAATGTCACTTCTCAGTTGTCATAAAAGTATGAAAATTAATTTCTCCCCACCTGCTGCTTTAACTGATGTACTAATCTGTCCTTCTCTCTTTTAAGAGCCATTACTTCCTCTTGTGTCTTCTTTTTCTTTGAAGCAGACAGTTCAAGCAAGGCAATGTTTGCATCCTTTTCACTAATTGCAGCAAGCAATGCTTCCTGTCTGATAAAATAAAATAACAATTGTTACATTCTCCATAAAACAGAATAAAAATGCTACATGAAATGCTCCTTTTAACCACAAGAAAATAGTCAAATAATTTCTGAAAACTCCTTGTAGAATTAATAATGTTAAGTACAATCAAATAATAAAATAAATTATCAGCAAAAATAAATTATCTTTATTCATTTTTTCATAATTTAAATACTTAACACATTTATCTCAGTGGGTTTCTGTTTATTCTGACATGACATCTAATAATAATTATTTCAATTACTTTGATCTAAAAAATCTTCGGTATTTGCTTTTTTTAAAATTTACTTACCTGAATTTGATAATATTCTAGATAAATCTGTTGTGAACTATTCCAATTGGAACGATCGAATCATAATAGCAAAGAGATACAAAATTTAAGTTGTCTTTTTTATTTGGGAGCCTGTAAGCCTCAGTAGAAAAATCTCTGAACATCTTCCACACATTTTCACAGATGTTTTCCTATGAATTTATTACTATTACAGCACTCAGAGACATATAGAATTACATATAAGCCAGGAGGGTCACACTGTAGCTTGTGAAGACACATGAGAAAAGTAAGTTCTACCACATCATTTGGAAGCACAGATCTTATTATTTCTTATGCTCTGAAATGCTCATGTTGGTAATATCATTATCTGTCCCTTGTTTTCTTAAATAAATGAAATATTCACTTTCTGCAGTGCATTCGATGACAGACTATGACTTATCAGCTAAGAAAGAGAACATAATACTTGATAAGTTTTGGAATATGTTATGGTCTATGCCTTTTTTGAGAACTACATAAGATCAATCATTACAAAATAAACATGGTTAAATGAGCCATAAATTAACCTTAGGTTCCAACTGCTAATAAATGTAAGAATATGGCTCATGAACTTCATATATCCAAGGTGAGCTAAAAGTTTGGAATTCTTGCAATCCTTCTGCTTGCCAGTAACAATGTCAAGAAAGCTATTTCACTTTTATTTCAAAATTCCTAATGTATTAATGTAAATATTTAAAGGACAATATTTCTGATGGAGTCAAAGGAAAACAATGCATTTATTTTACTTTCAAAGTTAGGAGATGTGGATCAATTCTAGATAAACAGTTGCATTTTATTCATACTCTTAAATAGTGTCATTTATTATTCTGTCTTCTTTACTCTAATCATGCTTAAAGGATGTTTAAAAGAGGATGTCATAAGTCTTCAGCAGTCTTAATTTAAATAAAAAGATCTCATTTTGAATAGCAGATATTAAGAAAAAAAATACATTAAGGAGTCACGTATCTGTAGGGTTAGATGTAGGTATTTTACTTTCTATAGATCTCAAAATAATGCATAAAGGATGCTGTACAGTAATTCATACCAGACTGTCAACATTTTTCATGTTTTGTGCTCAAATAACTTGTCAATTCAATAAAGCTTTCATTAAAATCTTAACTTCTTAATGCACTGAAATAAAAGAAAGCAGATCCACTACTCTATTAAATCATTTCTCTCAGACTGCAGAACGTAGGGAATATACGCACCATAGAAAATCTAAACACAGCCTCTTCTTAGCATCTGTCTTAAATGGAAAGAAAAATGTAACACAAATTCAACTTTTTTTCTTTCTGCACTATCTTTTATATACAAGTCTCTGTTTTTCTGTTTTAGAAATGTGCCCAGCCTCCCCAAGCAGGTTCTTTTGGGAGTGCTAAGGGTGATAATAGAACATTTCTGACAGAAAGGGTTGGCAACAGGAATGCTGTGACTTTAAAGCCAAAGAAACAGCAGATTGCTTTATTGCATAAAATACTCTTCTAAATTAAATAAGGTTAGGTTAGTTCTTCTACTTTTATCTGACAGCAGTGTTTATTAAAATCGTGAATAACGATGACTCAGCTTTTAGGTTTGTTCTCTTTGTTTTCAGGGTACATAAAACAAAGATTTTCTCCGTCTGAAATTAAAATAAGCAGGATATGGTCCTAATCTTTCATTTATGGTAATCATTGCTGTAAAGTAGGCACCCTCTGCTAAATAGCAAAATATAAATTGGTTTATTCCAAACGAATTATAATTAGTTATCATTAACAGTTTCAAGATATACCTGATTAATATCTGAAGATGTATACTGACATCACCATCACAAATCCAACTCATTCAGGATGCAAATAAGTAAACAACTCAGAAATTCAATGTTTTTCATTTATGCTTAGGTTAATTCCATGCATTCCATGGGGGAGAAGAGCAGGCAATTCACTTTGAAAATTCTGCAACCCTCAAGGACACAAGATTTTGGAAACTATAAATGTCCTCTTTTTCAGCTGAAGGTACAGAGGGGTTGTGAAAGCAAATCTAAAGATATTATAATATTTTTGTAAGTCAGTATTTTATTGAAACCTAACAATTTTTTTTTTACTCAACTGCCATGTGGTTGACACAACAATTCCTTCAGTATACAGCTATTGGTAAAATATTGCATAGTCACAACAAACAATTCCAATAAATACTAAACACTTCCAGAAAATGATGGTTAACAATCACGTGAAATATCTGCTGCCATATGGCTCTACTGTAATACACTACCAAGACAGCCAAAGACCAGAATCCAACCCCCAGCACATACAGACAGTTGAATCAGCTACCAATATTTCATGCTATTGGTCATTTTGTTTTTTAATCTTTATAACAAATGTCAGTGAAGTTAGGAGGTCTTAAATCTAAAAATGTTTAGTGAAAACTGTATAAGAACACAAGGATGGGGATTTGTAATGAAGTCCTTCAACTGCAATATGGAATGATAAATACATCCATATAGATGGGCAGGTGAATGCAAACACACAGTCTATGATTTTGAAGCCTCCTGAATGCAAGTCAGCTTCAGTTCAGAAGCTGTAAAGCCTCATTTACCTAAGACACACAGCATTTTAGCTTGGGCATAGTGCCACATAGCAGGCTAGTGGTTTCCAGACTGGCTCACATATAGTATGTTCAGATCACAGGCAGAGGGAGCTTGCATCTATCTGCACCTGCCTGCACAATCTCCTGGAGCATGTTGGCACATTATCTGTGTTTATAAACATGGATAATTTGAACAGTAATAATCTCAAATATATAAACCAGAGGCATTTTACCAGGCATCTGGGTTAACAAGAGTTCAGCAAAGTAGTACTGAAATGTTATGCTCTACCAATATATAGGCTACAAGGTTGTCTACAACCTCAGTAATTAACTTTAATACAGAAGGAAAACCCAATGCTTTGCATTATTAACATGCAAAATAGAGGTACAGGTTCTGACAGAGCATCTAAAAAAACAGAGGCAGCCTCTTTTACTTGTGTATGGCTTAGAATATCGCCAAAGTTATAGTTTCTCTAAGGAAGATATAGGTTGAAAAAATACAGTGCCTTACTGGAGTGGACAAAGTAAATCAAGAGGTGCAAGAATTTATGCAGCAGCCTGTGTGGACAGACCTGAATCTCTACGTTGTCATATATCTTTTATTAGATACCACACACAGGTCTATCCACGCCTGTGAAAGGTACCTATTCTTATCCTTGAAATTCCCTATGGAAAAATCAAATCTGATGAACAGAAGAAATTTACTTTAGCTACCCAGTGATTCTGCTAAAAATCAATATTACTGTTTTTGCAAGAAATGTGATTACCTGACCTGTAGGAGCAAGGCTCAGATGCCAGCAAAACAGCAGGTAAAAACAACATTCTCAATAACAATCATGAAGTAAGTTTCACTCAGACATGCAAGCAGGTGGCAAGGTCTTCACCTAAATCTCTCAGGTGAGTCATACACATCCATTTTACTTCTAGAAATTGAAAATGAGCATTCATTTCTGTGCCAGGAGTTTTGAAAATCAGGAGCTGAACTGGCACCAAAAACAACATACAGTCTCTTACACTCTCCAGCTAGCATGTTTAAGAGTATAAGCATAATTTATAATTCCTAATTATCTAGAGTGTCAGAAAAATAAAATGACTATCCCAATATGGTACTATAGAGATGTTATCAGTATTTCCAGCCAAAATGTCTCCTTATTGTTTAATAAATTATGGTAATAAAATACATTTTAGAATAATTTATTAAAGCACAGAATTAAATGACATTCTTTAACAGTAATATTTATAAAGAGTAATCCTTTTTTCTATTCACAGTTTTTCATCTCCCTTCTGGCAAACTAATCTGTTATACAAATACCAGGGTAGTACTTCTAATACCAAGAAAAATCACTCCTATTGAACATGGTAAAATTAGGTAAACTCTTAGTTTTATAAAATACATGTTAAATCAAACAGCATTTGCTCCACACTGATAAGTAATCCTTACATTTTCTTTTGACTTACATAAAACAGTTACCAGTATTCCTCATCTAAATATGCTCCACTATAAATGGGTGTTCACAACAAGAAAGAAAGAGGCAGCTCTTCCTTAGAAAAGCTGAACTCTAGGAATGAAACTTCTCAGTTGGCAAAGACAGATTTAATTCTACTTCACAGCAAACACAAGTTAGTCTTCTTCACAAAATGTGAATATAGCAGTCTCTTGATGGTCACATTTGCAGCAGTGAGACCTGGGCTTTATGTACTAAAGATTCCAGTGAGAAGTACCAAGAAAGTTGCGCAAATATATTAATATATGTCATGCCGCTTTGTACTAAAACATAAAAGTGAAGAGGAAATAGACAATAGCTCAAGCAAGCAGGAATACAGCCCATACTATCTGAAATCCCACTCTATTTTTTTCATTAACTGCATGGATGATGGACTAGAAAATTTTCCTTTTGAATTTCACAAAGATTTGAGACTGGGAGGACCTTGAAGTGCCAAGAAGACAAGAATTAAAAGGTCATGACAAACCAAAGAAGCAGTATGTAAAACTAAGGAGTAACTCCTTATTAATGATCTGTTGTGAAAAAGGCAAACATCATACTGGAAAGTATAAACAGAAACAGACTGCAAGACAGAAGTGAGTCTTTTGATCTGTGTG